GTGCGTGAATCTGACCACTCACCTCCACCTAGTGCAGAGGTCAAGAAACGGCGGATCTATACATCCACTCCCCCAAACGCCTTCATGGTGTAATGCTTAATTAGTTAAGCACAGGGACAACTTTACCTTTCACTCAATCGCTCGTGGAGCTGAGCCCTTCTTGAGAAGCCGCCAATTGTGCGGCTACTCAAGAATTTCCAAGCATTTTATGGAACCCGAGGGTTCATTACCGTGTTCACAAGAGCCCCCTATCGGTCCTTATCCTGAGCCAGATCAATACAATCCAATCCATACCATCCCATCTCTCTAAGATCCATTTTAATATTGTTCACCCACCCACGCCTTGTTCTTCCTAGTGGTCTCTTTCCTTTCGGCTTTCCCACCAGTATTCTATGTGCATTCCCCTTCTCCCCCATTCATGCTACATGCCCTGCCAACTTTACTTTCCCAATACAGTAAACCCACTGCGTCTACATTAGAAGACCCAACAGCTTGATAATATCACAGGACACATGAATTCACTCTGTGGGCAAAATGCAGTTTTTTTTTTTTAATGATAAAAGCATTTGACACATATAGCAACCACTGTGCTTTAAAGGGGATGGAGGATCGTACACCATGGATTTAGTTATCTGAAATTCAGTTCGTACTCCCATGATGCAGTGTCAGTTCCGCCTCGAATCCTACGAGACACTTCTCATGTTACACTTGACTTCAGCTTCAATTAAAGGTCGGTAAATAAACAGGGAAGTCGCCAGTGTCAATGTTTACGATCTGCTAATTGCATACTGACGCGTTAGATAACAGCTGATAAAATAACACCTGTTGGACAGCCGGATGATTGGTTGCATCACACTTTGTACGATTCCGCAGTTTCACAGGTTACTGGTTCGAGTCCTACTCACAACATGGCGTATTCCTACAGGGAAGTTGTAATCTCCAGTATTCACAATGCTGAATTTTATCAAATTTAGAGTAATCTAAAATTTAAGTAACCACAAGCTCTACAATTATTCAATTTTTAAGGACACGCATGACTGGGATGCACGCGGTAGCATATTTGATTGAATCACTAAGCTACAAGCCGGAAGTTCGCGAGTTCGATTCCCGAGGTCATTGGATTCTTTTGATTGATCTAAACCATGGGGTCGACTCAATCTCTAACAGAAATGAGTACCACGAATCTTCCTGGCGATAAAGTGCGGCCAGCGCGTAAGGCTGACAACCTCACCGCCATCTGTGAGCCGATTGTCTAGATAATGTGGGAACCTCGACGTCTCATAACCCTATGGGCCTCCACGGCCTGTTTCAGGGTTAGCTTTTAGTCAGTAGCTCAGCCTGTGTATTGTGGATTGGTAGGAGGATTAGTGAATAACAAATTGGAACGCATGCGAAGCGGTTGTGTCTGTCTACTGTCCATACATTTGCCTGGAGGGGCCGACGAATATTACGGAAAACCTCAGTCCACAGAGCCAGTTTCCGGACCGAAATTTAACCCCCCCCCCCAGCAGAAATGCTGCCTACGCGATCGCAGCATTCGGTTTGGACGAGTCCTAACAATATGGAGGTATGATGGTATTTTTTCCTCACGATCGTAGTCCTGTAGTGAAACAGAAATAGCGGCTGACTTATAGCAAAGAGTGATCTGTAATATATACAATTTCCCACCGTTTCCTCTCTCCGTGATAAGCGCAACAATCGTACAGCACAAGAGTATTTGATATGATTAATTTCATTGGGATACGTGACGATGGGAGCCGGGATAGCTCAGTCGGTACAGCGACTGGCTACTGGCTGGACGACCGAGGGGTCGGAGTTAAGAACTTTCTCTTCTCCAAGTCGTTCAGACTGGCTGTGCGATCCACCCAATATGTACAGGGGGCTTTTTCCTTGGGGGTAAAGCGACAAGGGCGTGAAACTGAACACTCACCCCCAACTAGTGCCGAGGTTAAGAAAATGTGGATCTATACATCCATTCCCACATACGCCTTCATTAGTTAAGCACAGGGGCAACTTTACCTTTTACCTTTATGTGGCAAAGGAGGCTGTCACCGAACGTCAAACGGCCAGCATATCGAATGACTAAGAAGCAGTCGTCACATGGCTGCGTTACAAACGGGGACCGTGAACAAATGTAGTTTTAGTGAGGCTTTAAGCTTGTTACTTAATGATGGTGTCAGCCGATGATAGGATGATTACTGAACACTAATGAACGGTTGGTGGAATAAGGGGATACTGAAGTGCTTGCAGAAAACCTGCCCCAATGCCACTTTGCCCATCACAAATACCACATGGCATGACTTGGGATCGAATGCGGGTCGCAGCGGTAGAAAGGCGGCGAATAACTGCCCGAGCCGTTGAACGGCCCAATTAGCAACTTTAATGACTGTAAATTTTAATTACTTGTTTGTGGTATGGTTTATTAAAAATATGATATGCCATTTTAAGTAGTGTGTCGTTCAGACCTCATATACGTGTATATTTGGTTACATTAATATTCTTTACACGAAGTTCCCCTTACCATTATGTATGGATAATTTTTATATATTGTATATTTCAATAAAATCTGTTCAAAGTTTATTTTATACACAATTGTCTCTGTGTCAAACAAAAACATAAGTGGCAATGGTTCCTGGCGCATTTTGACACATGTCACGCTCATAGATAGCAGGAAAGTCGAATGTCACGTCATGTGTTTCCAATCGATATCACTGAATTACTGAACTGCGGGCCCAGTTCTTTCGTACTGTGCAGATTCGCGGCAGCTTGTCAGCTTGTAGCGCCGGCCGCCCTTTACCCCTGGGAAGATTTCTGGTACTCAATTTGCTGGAGGCTGAGTCTACTCCAGTGCCATAATGTGGCAGCAATGATGAGGTCAATTGAAAAATCCAGTGACCTCATCAGAAATCGAACCTGCAACTTTCTGGCTTGTAGCACAGTGCCTCAATCAAGTACATTACCCCATGCCCCTGAATGGTGGAGTAAAATAAAAAGTAAAGTAAAGCCATCCCTGTAACAGGCCATGAAGGCCCATAGGGTTGTGAGACATTGAGGGTCCCACATTATCTAGACAATTGGCTCAAAAATGGCGATAAGGTTGTCGGCATTAAGCGTCAGCCATGCTTTACTCCCCAGGAAAATTATTTAATTCATGGTACTCATTTCTGTTAGAGGCCGAGTCGACACCAGGGCCATAGTGCGGCTGGAAGGGTTAGGTCAATTGAAAAAAATCCAATGACCTCATTGCGACTTGAACCCATGACCTTCAAGCTTGTAGTATTGATACTATAACCCACTTTGAGCCTTGGTTAATTCTTGAACACCTGAAAACCGAGAATATATAAATATATAAATAAAGGGTAGAAAGAAGGAATGCAGTCTTTGGCTTTCTCCTTATTCCCACTGGTTTACAATATGATAATTGCTCAATTCTGATGCTCAGTGTTGAAATATGTAGGCAAATCATTGGTCTCTGTCAGGAACAGGAGGAGATTATTGAAGAAAGTCACAACATTCACATCCTGTACAAATTTATTTCTCTTTGCCTGTTAAACAATAAACATGTGAGTGACTACACTCACTCACTATTCTCACAGAGCGGGTGATAGAAGAAAATTTTCATCTCAGCTGTCATCAGGCCATGCTCAGTGTCTTTTGCTAACTTCTGTCTACAATATCACAAAGAGAAAAACAGCACTTCACTTTTTCAACAGCTGGTGCCTCAGGACCAAGAACGGTGCACCCAGTCCACTTCCAAAGAAAACTATGAACAGTGCTGTTAATTTGTAGCGATTGCTGATGTCAAATGGGATGTTCTGGAAACAAAATTAAAAGCAAATTATGTAGTCCACTTGGACTGTAATAGTTTCTCATGTTAAATGCAACACAGTGCAAACCATATTTAATGTTTGTTTCGGGTGTAGAGGCTTTAAGCACTAAACTGGGGAAGATCTTAAATGGAGGAGGTTTATTATTGAAGTTATTGAGGTAACTGTAAATTATATGAGGAAAAAAATGAAATTGCAGAACATCGAATGAGGGTTACACTGTATTTTTGAAATGGGACACAACGAAAATGTGTAGTGCCATTAGCTTGTAATGGTCTGCTGAACACATGTTCTAGAAAAAAAGAATATATGTCTGTACATACCTTTCATAAAATAAAAATAACATTTCTCTTCTCACTCAAATTTCAATGTATTTTATACTGGTCATTATAGACTGTCACAGTTTCATAACTTAAAAGGTTGGATCATAGAATGAGTGCCCTGTATGTATGGACATATTAAATAAATACTAGTCACTGCCACTATTGACATGGCACACCCAATTATAAATAAAATGTTGTGAGAAGCATTATAAAGTGTGGAAGAAGGGGTTGGCATCCTTATCGACAATTTTACATTTTTATTCCCCACTTCAGAAACAATGCCATAGCTGAGATCTGAGTTCCTCATGGTGGTGAGGTTAAGATCAGAGTTTCCTGGGACATAACAGTTTTACCAGTATGTATGTTCAGGGGGAACCTGCTGCCTTCATCTTCAAAGTCTAACCTAAAGACTGATGCAAGAGCTTCCTGCGGAACGTCGATACATATCTACCAAACCACAATGTTTCATATTCCAGAAGACCATATTCTTAACATTGTATTTATGGCTCTTTTTTTAACTTGCAGCACTACTACACAATTAACAATTACTGATTCCCCATTCACTTCATCATAATTACGAGGAGTTCTCTCATTCCCACTGTATTTTTACAAACTACAAGGTGATCAATTAATCACTCGATACAGGGAAACTATTTCGTTATGAATTCACAAACACATTCAATCTGCAGCTATCTGGAAACTGCACGATTCTCCATTTTGGCAATAAGAGTTTGTTGTTAAGGATGATATTTATCACTGCTATTCTTACCCCTCCTGGAATTCCACCGTGGTCATGACCACCACTTCGTCTGGCGGCTGAAGTAACGAAATTTCTTGCGATTTGGGAAATCCTACCGGACAGCATATTCGATTTCTATATTTATCAGCTGAGAAGAAAATGAAGTTGTCTCGGCAAGTACCCACGCAGTCAGTCAAAGCAGAGGATGAATCAAGATGGATGAATGATTGAACATCTTGACTGGAAATAATATGTTCCTTTTTGACGTAAATTTTAATTGTCGGCAGCATTTGCCTCCTCAGTCAATTACATGTACGTCATAGGCAAGAATGTTAATGCTGATTTGACTACGTTGTAGGTCGGCCAGCAGTTCAAGTCGTGTAAGTAGTGTAAGTAGATTTTGTTTAGGTTGTATAGTACAAAAGTCCAAATTGAAGCATGATGTTGCAAACAACAACGCGATGCATTTTGAGAAGGAATTTACTGAAACGTAATTACACCAGAGAAGCAGCTGTTATCGGTTCAACTCCAGACAAAAACACACCGGAATATCAGGTAGGATAGTGTAGTCACAAAGGATTCGACATCGCAAAAAAGAAAGAAAAAAAAATATATATTCTGAGGTAGTAGAAAACTCAAAATATGTTGTGAAAAAAAATATTTAAACATCTCTAAAAAAAAAATTCAGATCATTTATGTAATATATTGAAGAGATAGTCACATAATATATTGAAGTATCCGATGTGGCGCCCAAAATGTAGTTGATTGATCAGTAGTAAATATTGTGAACATGTATCGATTTTTTAATTTAAAAGTAAAATTCTGAAAGCTATGGAAAGAATTCTGAAATGTATTGATAATTAAAGGTATCTTAAAAATCACAGTTAAGGTTTGGTTGCTTCGGTAGTATAGTGGTTAGTATCCCCGCCTGTCACGCGGGAGACCGGGGTTCGATTCCCCGCCGGAGCGTTTTTTTTCATTCTCTTACACGCGAGAAAAGGATTAAGATTTATAATTATAGATGACAGTTTAATATTAAGATGATTCTTAATTTGATTTACAATATGGTTTGGTAGTGAACTTTGGTGTGATAGTGCTGAATCCTGTGTTCCATAAAATGGTGGAATGTCTTACTACTGATGAAATGAACTACCAGATTCTCAAGAAGGAGCCTAATGCGTAGAGTTTGTTATCTCATGTATGCATTTGATGAAGTATTGTTAAATGAAGCAAGTTACAAATAACTGTGTGTTGCAGGAAAACTATGCACACTTGAAGAACCTGGTGACAGAGCTGCAGGCTGCAGTGGAGTGTGTGATGAAGGGAGGGGGAGATCAGGCTAGGCTGAGGCACACATCCAAAGGCAAATTGTTGGTACGGGACCGTGTAAACCGTCTGCTTGATCCAGGCTCTCCTTTTCTGGAGCTGTCGCAACTTGCTGGCCATGATCTGTATGGTGACGATATTGTCCCTGCGGGGGGCATAGTCACAGGGATTGGCAGGATAGCAGGGTGAGTGACGCTATCACTGAATTTTGCAGAGGGCATTGTGCTGTCACTTTATGATTAATTATGATGGAGGTGGCTCGTTTATGTATAATAGACAAAGAATGAGTGTACAGGGTGTGTATGACAGTTTAGCAAAGCAGTATTTTGTATGGGAATTTTGGGGGATTGCAGAAGGGGGGGAAAAATCTTGGAAAATGGGAACATCAAGGAATAAGTAATTGTTAGTTTGAGATGCTTTAAGTAAGCTGTATAAAAAAAACTCCATGATTTTAGTCCGCAAGGGAACTATATGGACCGAGTGACTGCCGCTTGTCTCCAAAGTTTAGTGCCAACTTTTGTGGATAGAGGGTGTCACGTGGTCAGTGCAACGGATCCCCACGGCCGTTAATTTCGGTTTTCTAGACTGGAGCCGCTATTTCCTTGAAATAGCTCCTGAGTTATCATGAGGCTGAGTGGACCCCCTTGCAGACCCACTACTTCTCAGAATCGTTAATCGAACCCGGATCTCTGGATCTGTAGGCAGGAACTCTGACCACTAGACCACAGAGGAGGTTTTAAGTAAGCCATATATTTAAGTTAATGTATTTTCTTGAATAAATATGGAAACTAAAAATGTAATGGCAGTTTACATAAACTCTAGGGCCGCGCCATAGCTCAAGCGGTTAGTCTCTGGCTTCCCACCGCGGCGGCCCAGGTTCAATCCGTGGGTCTGGTCAAGTGGGATTTATGGTGGACAAAGTGTTGCTGGGGCAAGTTTTCTCCAAGTACTTAGGTTTCCCCTGCCAATCTTAATTCCACCAAGTGCTCCACAATCACCCTCACCTATCATCTGGGGCTGGTACAATAGGCCAGAAGTGGCCGCAGTACAAGGGACTTAGTCCCACCCCACTAGCAATAAAAAAAATACATAAACTCTTAAACCATAATGTGTTAAAAACAGAAATGTAATTATGTAATAGGAATTGTAAAGTTGTACTATGTAATGTGTTGACTGTACTGCAATTTTTTATATTCCTTGACTCAGGCCACTGTATATATTAGTACCCTGTTCCCTCAGGGTTGAAGAAACTGCAAATAAAAGTGTGCTGTTGCAGGTTAGAGTGTATGATTGTTGCCAATGATGCAACAGTAAAGGGAGGAACCTATTACCCGATTACAGTGAAGAAGCACGTCCGAGCACAAGAGATAGCATTAGAAAACAGACTGCCCTGCATCTATCTGGTTGACTCAGGTGGGGCAAACCTTCCATATCAAGCAGAAGTATTTCCAGACCGCAACCATTTTGGGCGCATATTCTATAACCAGGCAACAATGTCTGCACAAGGCATTGCTCAGGTGCTGTATCAACTACTGGAGCTACTTAGGGGCAGTAGTGAATTGATATGATGGAAATAAAGTTACCACTTGTTAATTTCTTTTTTTAATTATGGAAAATTTTGATGTGTTAATAAAAAGAAAGGCAATAAAGCAAAGAAGAATCCTGCTTTTTATAATGGTATTTGACAGTGGAAGCCTGTATGTAAAATATGGTACACTTTATGATTGTCAGTGTGTATGTTATATGCAGGAATATAGGTCATAAACAGGGCCCAGATTTTGATGACCTGAAAATATTTAAAAAATGACCTATAAAATGACTGAAAAAATCCAGAAAAATGACCTAAAATGTGACCCAAAAATGTAATATGCAGAGCCCGGATTTTGATGACCTGAAAATATTAAAAAATGACCTATAAAATGACTGAAAAATCCAGAAAAATGAGCTAAAGGAGAAAAGAAAGAACACTTCGCTTCCATGTTATTCACATTTCAGAAAACATATGGAGAAAAATTCCCTGAAATGGCCAAAAATTACAAGAAATACCCTTAAAAGTCCAAAAATTTATAAAAAAAGTACCCCCAAAATGAAAAAAATGACCTTAAACCTAAAAATGTCAAAAATGACAAAAAAATTACCTATAGAATTTACATTTCTGTAACCAGCAGCTCATATCCGAGATTTATATATTTAAGAGCGTCAAATAGGATACAAGGAAAAAAAGTTGACATGTCATCAAAATTCGGGCCATGGTAATAAGTAATATTTAAGAAGAGGACCAGAAGATGGCAGCAATAAACAGCAGTGAGAAGTATCTATACCTCAGTCAGTATTGCTACCCTAGCCTTTTCAAAAATAAAAGTACATACCTTAAAATGCAGTGAAATTGTGATTTCATATTGACTTGCAAGGGCTATAATATTCAAATGTAATAACGAATCTATGTAAGGGTTATTTTGGGAGACTTAACTAGAGATGGGAATTGTGAAATGTTGTCATTTAATTTTCAACAATCATTTCATTGGTATGGTATTGTCCCTTAATGGACATAAGGTAGATTAAATTGAAGTGGTGTGTGTGTCTGATGATCCTTGCAGCACAACTGTCTACAATCTGTTATGCATTCCCTTTGCATTTAAAATTAGCTCTCTAGTTATCCCACACTTTGAATGGAGCTCTTTACTTTTCTTAATATCAACTTTTGTTAGTCACTTGGCTTCGCAGAATGGAGCAATCATAACCCATTCTAAGGAGGGTCATTGAGTTCTCAGTAATTATTTAAAGTATAGCTGCATCCTCACACAGTTTTGGGAAGTCAATAAATCCACAAAATTTAATGTATGTGCTCTTGGAAAATGTAGCTGCAGCCAGTGAAACATTTTATAGCTTGCTGTAGGTGTAGAGTGGCTGTAAAGCTATGTATGTTTCTGCTGTCACCTTACAACCTGACAAGCACTTGCAACAATTTGCAAAAGTGCACTTTTCACTAACATGCAGACATGAGGGATTGTCATGTAGTTGTATATAATATTTCAGGTGGTTGAACTAGTGCTAAATTTGAGAATCCCTTGTACAGAGCAGTAAGAAGTTGGTCTTTAAATGTAGTATGTTTTCTGTGAGAAAGGAAATAAATTTTTTAATGCTCATAGGGTGAAAATCATGTTTCAAATGGTTAATTATGCCTTTTATTCAGAAGGTCCTAGAATTGAGTCCTGTGATTTGTGAATTAAGTTTACTCTAATAGTATGTTGCCTTGTGTTAGCACTTGGCTTCTTCCTACTTGATGAGGCTGAGAACAGGTCGTGTGTATGCTTGTAGATTGCTGTGGTGATGGGTAGCTGCACGGCAGGTGGTGCGTACGTGCCTGCAATGGCTGATGAGAGTGTCATTGTGCAAGGAACAGGCACTGTATTCCTTGCAGGACCTCCACTAGTAAAGGCTGCAACGGGGGAGGACATAAGCGCAGAGGAACTGGGTGGGGCTGATCTTCACTGCAGGTAATTCCTTCTTCCTATAGAATCCTGATCTGTTTCCTCCTGCCACTGTCTGCTTTCACAGGTCTGTTTACTTGGCAGTGAAGATGGAGGAATTTTGAGGTTATCATGGTGGTAACTTCTGGGGCATAATGCCATGTAGTTTGGCAGATGTTCACCAGTGTCACTTCTACCATGAATATGGAGGCAGGAGGTTCCTGTGAAGATTGCCAGTAAACGTCTGCCAGAGTACATGCCATCACATTCGAGAAGACGACTATTCTTTCATGGTTATAACCAAGTGGACAAACTTCTGAATAGCTGTCAATGTCTATGCAACATCCCATACAGAACGTAAATTTTTGATGTCATAGCAATATTATACATGATATGTTAGTGTGTAGTCTGGAAATGTAGCATGGATCAGCAATTTAGTGTTGCATGGCCTGTGTGTAATATGATTCTAAAAATTTCTGACAGTATTTCATTTTTATTATGGCAGAATTTCTGTTTATATTACTTATTCATTCATCAGTAATCTGTCAAGATGACAGGTCCACAGTCTCTTCCAAAAGAGTTCCTCCACTTAATGTGATCTAGAGCTTTCCCCTTCAAATGAGAATATCCTCTTCTGTCCCCAAGGTCATCCAGCATCTTCTTACGTCTTCTTCCTCGTCTTCTTGTCACTTCTATCCGCCCATCTATCTTTCCTTCGATAGCTTCTTTTAGAAGGCAGTTTCTGTGTAAGATATGACCAANTGCTCCAAATGTAGCATTTCACTAGTTTCTTTCTCAAATTTAAGTCCAATTTGCTGGTAAAAAGATTCTTCTTCTTGCTAAATGCAGCTTTTGCCATCGCAATCCTAGATTTCATTTCACAAGTACACCTTCCATCATCTGTTAACAAGCTACCCAAATATTTAAAACATTTCACATTCTCCAGTTGTTTTTGGTCTATCTTTATTGTGACTGGGGTTGGTTGTCTCAAAATTTTCATTACTTTTGTTTTTTCCACATTCATTTCCATGCCATGGCACCTTCCAATTTCAGTTAGATTACTTATTATCTGGATAAAAATATGTAAAGTGGAACCTTCTGTTTAATGTTCCTCTAATTAAGGTTTACCTTCATTTCACATTCAATTGCAGTGATCCAAAGTCAGTAACATCTGTCTTAAGTTTCCTCCGTTTAATGTTGACATCTGTTGCTCCCCAAATAAACCTTAAGTGGGAATTTCAGTGTACAACTTTTTTAGAGGCTGTTTCTTTGTCTTATGGGGACAGGAAAGGGTAGCATAGAATGGTAATTCAATTATCTGATTGTAAGATTTGAGGTTTTCACTGCGGTGACTATGAAGAATGCTGTCTTCTGGGATGTGGCATTGTGTAGATATTTTGTTAACCGGCGTTTCGGAGGAACATATCGCCTTCATCTTCAGGGTATAAGAAATCTGCGAGCGATGAACCAGCATGAGTAGGTGCCTGCATTCTCCATTATCTGGTTGTCTGATATATGTTATTTGAGAGGCTGGCTCTTCACTGTCACTGTCAGGCAGTACAAAAGAGTACATAAACTCTGGGCCCTGTACTACCACTAAGCATGGAGGCAGAACCAGCCTCTGATATATCACATATGAGAATTTTATTTACACAAAGGACAATGTATAAAACAAAAGTCTCCTATAACCTTTGTGTAGGTACTCTAATATTCCTTGTAGCCAGATTATATCAGTTAGTATAACAATTATGCTTCAAGTTTGTTGACTGATGTCATCTGGGCTTGATTTCTGAAGTGGAATGTGATTTTTCTTTTCTCCGAAGCATCTAGACTGGCTCTGGATTATACCCAGCATCCTATCCAGTGGATACGGAAGCCTTTTCCTAGAGTTAAATGGTTGGAGTGTGAAGTTGACCACTCACCTCCATCTTATGCTGGCGTTAAGAACAGATGGAGGAATTTCTCAGATCTGCCTGACACTTCACCATTTTACCGAGACAATCCTGAAAGGAAGCCTGTCTAATCAAGTCCAGGTTGTGATTTGTCAGTTCCATAAGTGTTGCGCCTAGCAAGGTGACAATCCTGACACCACTTGTAACTTGTATTTGGGAAGTGCTTTGTTCAGATCTTGGTCAGAGTACCAGCTATCCTGAAAGACGTTTGTTGTGGTTATCCACAGTACCACCAGTCAGATGCTATAGTTGTACATTAAATAATGCTGTGGCCACATCCTTCCCAGTTCACTATTCAGGATTGTCCCATCATTCATTGCTATGTGGTCTAAGCCACTGCCAGAATTGTTAAGTAAACTGCAAACAAACAAGAAAGTGTAGGCTGGAGTGAATCAGGCACAAAATATATAAATAATTGTGTTGCAGAACGTCAGGTGTTACAGATCACTACGCCATGGATGATGAGCATGCCCTGTACCTCACAAGGCAAATTGTTAAGAACCTCAACAGGTGCAAGGTTCTAGAGACGACAAGTTGTTCACCTGACCCGCCTGTTCATCCACTGGATGACCTCTACGGCATTGTTGGAGGGAATATTAAGAAGAGCTTTGACATCAGAGAGGTTATTTAACAACTATGACTGTTATGCTTATCTCTAGGCTGGCTCTTATTATGTTTTGATTTAAATGTATTAGAATTGTAAATTAATTAAAGATTTTAATATTTAAGTGCTGTGAAATTGGGACACGCGGTAGCATAGTTGGTTGAGGCACTATGCTACAAGCCGGAAGGTCACGGGTTCAAGTCCCGATGAGGCCATCGGATTTTTTTCAATTGACCTAATCCTTCCAGCCACAATATAGCCCTGGGGTTGACTCAGCCTCTAACAGAAATGAGTACCAGGAATTAATTAAATAATTTTCCTGGGGAGTAAAGCGCAGTCAGCATGTAAGGCTGACAACCTTACCTTCCCATCTTTGAGCCGTTTGTCTAGATAATGTGGGAGCCACAATGTCTCATAACCCTATGGGCCCCATGGCCTGTTACAGGAATAGCTTTACTTTTTTTTAAGTGGTGTGAAATTTGACTTACTCATGACAGTGACTATGAGAATTATAATACTGTCTCATGTGATGCTTTGTAGTTTGGTAGATAGGTACCACTGTTTTGGGGGAGGATCTTGCCTCTGCCTTCAAGAGCTACTCTGAAGTTGGAGGCAGTGAGAAATAAAAGGCTTGTAAAATGTCCTGCCCTGGTGGCCACTTGGTTTGTCTGGCCTGTTGTGGCAGCCCTGGTCAGAAAATGACAGTCTTCATGTCACTGCTGTGGGAACTGCAAATCTCACCTCCTTGCTGAACATGTGTGCCTTCTGCTAGTCCATTTACACTTTTGTGGAGACATTTTTGGTTGCAGTCATGTTTCATATGCAAGAATGGAATGAAGGAAATGTATAGGGACTTAATGTTCTTTTAATTTCACAATTAATAGGAATGTATGAAAATTGTGTGATGAATTGAGGTGTGATTTCTGTTTGGGGCCCTATATAATGGTGTAAGTTTCTCAAATTGCTTGCAGGTGATTGCTCGTATTGTGGATGGCTCCCAGTTTGACGAATTCAAAAGGCACTATGGAAATACTCTGGTGACTGGGTTTGCACGGTTATATGGCTATCCTGTTGGTGTTGTGGGTAACAATGGCATTTTGTTCTCAGAGGCTGCCGTCAAGGTAATATCAACTTACTAAATTTTGTCGCAGAGGTGTGTCGTTTTGTCAACGTATTTCCCATGAACTCCTGCATGAGAATTATGGGGATTCTGTTTAATTATCAGAGTAGCTGAACTACATTGAGCAGATTTTTATTGGTTCTTTAATTAACATGTTGCACAGGTTCCTAAAAATTAAGCTAATGAACATGAAGTTGGGATGGAGAAAGTCACTTAATAAAGATTTTTGTGTTTTTACAGCTCTAAATTCCAGACAGGCCATAGTAAGTACATCTGCATTTATTTTAATGGTTAGAATTATCGGTCATCTCCATAATGCCCCTATTTAACTACAAAACTGCCATAAATGTGTCCATTTCTGTCTCTTGCTCTTTCACCCCGTTTTCTCTGTCCTCTTCTTTACCCTGCAAGCATTCAGCTCTGCATCTTCAACTTCGCTTTTCTTTCATATGCAGATAATATAACAAAACTATAAAAACAATGACGGTAAGGAAAAGTCCTAACACTTCAACATAAAGTTCAGACAAAATGCCAGCAGATGTCACAATCAGATGTAGCAATATCTGTGATATGTGACATTTCTGACACTTGTCACTTTTAGAATTTATGCTTTTAAAGACATACTGTTTCTGTACTGTGTGCAGGGGGCTCATTTTGTGGAGCTGTGTTGTCAGCGCAAGATACCACTGCTGTTCTTGCAGAACATAACTGGTGAGTGACTTGGGGTTAAGGCATTAATGATATTACCCTGTTTGGAGAGCACCGAATATGTTGCCTGGTCATAAATTCATCTGACTACCCTGAAATTGGGCCATTTGAGTATAGATATATTAGATGTGGTTTATATAACAACAATGTCAACTGCTGAGACTGTATAACATCAAATCTAAGGATGATCAAATGAATTCAAAACAATGTGGTAGAAAGTACTCGTAGTCTCATTTGAGGTACTGTCTTGGCATTTCCTGGAGACGCTGAAGAAAACCATAATGATGAGTTGTTCAGTTTGGTGACATATCTTGCCTGCAGGCTTCATGGTGGGGCGTGATGCAGAAGCAGGTGGCATTGCAAAGCATGGAGCCAAGATGGTTACTGCTGTATCATGTGCACAGGTCCCTAAGTTGACCCTCATTATCGGAGGCTCATTTGGAGCAGGAAACTATGGCATGTGTGGTAGGGCATATGGCCCAAGATTCCTGTATATGTGGCCCAATGCCCGCATGTCAGTGATGGGCGGAGACCAGGCTGCAGATGTGCTGTGTCAGGTGTCCCGCCAAATACGAGAACGAGAGGGCAAACAAGTGAGTGAGTGACTTCCTTGATTCATGTAAATGGCTGTGAGGGGGTCTGTGTTTGTATTGATACAATTTCTTGCTGTGCAGTGGACGAATGAGGAGGATAGAGCCGTCAGAGATCCCATTGTAAAGAAATTTGAGGCAGAGGGCAGTCCATTCTTCTCCAGTGCCAGGTACAGATTTCACCATATTCACTCAGCAACAGTGAGCAAGTTAGCTCAGTGAAGGCTATATATTTACTGCTTATGCAATTTCTTGTTTAATATTTGTTTTGACAGCTGAGAGTAAGGAACATAAATGGCCGCGTCATAGCTCAAGCGGTTAGTCGCTGGCTTCCCACTGCGGTGGCCCGGGTTTGATCCTGGGTCTGGTCAAGTGGGATTTGTGGTGGACAAAGTGGCGCTGGGGCAGGTTTTCTCCGAGTTCTTCGGTTTCCCCTGCCAATCTTCATTCCACCAATTGCTCCACAGTCACCCTCACCTATCATCTGGGGCTGGTACAATAGGCCAGAAGTGGCCGCAGTATAAGGGACTTAGTCCCACCCCACTAACAATAAAAAAAAAAAAAAGGAACATAAACTGAGAATGTGCGAAAAAAATACTGCTGAAAATAACACAAGCTCTGAAGCTTTCAGGGTGGCTAAAGTTAATAAAATTTTCTTGGGTGTTAGCCATGTCTGACAGCGCAAGAATATTTGGTTCTAATTGAAAATAGGTAAGGGAGAAGTGAAATGAGGAGCCGCAGAATTTATAAACAAGTTCTAAAAGTTTGTGATGATAGTATATTAGTACAGTTACTGTGTTTTTGGATATTATCTTTTATTTAGAATCGTTTCGGAGACTGGATTCTGTCTCCGTCTCCAGGTGGAACCTACTCAGTTGAGCCTAATCGATAGAGCTAGTCCCTGTCTCCGGACAGCAGCACCAACATAAGATGGGACATGTAAAACAAACACAACATAAACCATTGGTTTATGTTATGTTATGTTGTCAAAAAGATTAAAGAAACTCCTCACACATGAGGCATACCACTTCTGTCCATGCATCATATAACAGTTAGCATCTATAAAACCAGAGTTTGTTTTATATAGCTTAGTTTGTGTTGGAGCTGGTGTCTGGAGATGGGGACTAGCTCTATTGATTGGGCCAAACTGAGTTGGCTTTTGCCTGAGAAGGGAGACAGAACCCAGTCTCCAAAACGTTGTGTTTGAAATAAAAAACAGGACAATGGATAATGCCCCAAAACACAATAATTATATTGGCAATTTGAACTAATTCAGGGTAGGCTGCAGCACGCCCTCCTGGAACATGTCACTGAATGTTTGGGTTTTTTTAAAAGCAGATAATTTCAATAGATAGTATTTTTCAGGCTGTGGGATGACGGAGTGATTGACCCAGTGGACTCTCGAGCTGTGTTGGGACTGAGCCTCAGTGCTGCTCTCAATGCACCAATCTCTGAAGCGAAGTTTGGGGTGTTCAGGATGTGAAGAGGGATCTTAGGAATGTTACTGATTAATTTCCACAATTTTGTGTTATAAATTAAATTTGTTTATTTTTGTATGACTTATTTTTATACTATAAAAATACAAACCATTTTTAAGCTTCAATAGAATTTTACTGAGTACCCATACACTTTTACCTTCATGTTATTTTTCCCTCCTCCCCCCCCCACCCCCTGCTTAGTGGGGTATGGAGGCCAACTGGGTCCACTCAGCATGCTGGCCACTGATTGGCCTATTGTAGCCTGCCTTGGGTGACTGTGATGATGGAGAATTTGATGGAATGAAAATTGGCAGGGGAAACCGAAGTACTCGGAGAAAACCTGCCCCAGGGCCACTTTGTCCACCACAAATCCCACTTGACCAGACCCGGGATCGAACCCAGGTCACCGCGGTGGGAAGCCAACGACTAACCTCTTGAACTATGGCAGGCCTTTTGCTTTATTTACTATGAAACATCTATCAAAATTCAGAGGGAAGTCTCATAATTCATTATGGATGCATTTATATTATTAACTTCCCCTGCTTTTTCCTGTATTCCTTTCAGTCCTATGTGTTATCAGATGATATGTTGAGGCTGACAGTTAATGCCATCGCCCACAAGTAATATGCACAAAAAGCCAATTGTTAACCATCTCCTATATATAGTATACTATACTGCACATATCCACATTATATTATATTACCTGTACTCATAGAATACACGTGAAACACTGAAGCAAAAGAGACAGCTTGCTTAATTGTGACTTACTATGTTATTTATATTCATGTATTATGTTAGTGTTTGGCAGGCAGCTGCTGTGGTAACCCAATTTTGTGTCATTTCAGAGCTTTCATCTCTTGCTTCTAAATGCTAGGGGAAAGCATAAACATTGATTCCTAGAGAAGCAGGTTGTAATAATGTAAAATGATGAAGTTATGCATGTGGCCAACATACAAGTGACCATCTTCACATATGTCTGTGTCTCATTAACTGGAAAGTATATATCGTGGATTAACTGTGGAAGAATTATGTAAAAATAGATACTTCTCCTGATGACATTTTTCCATCAACATCCCCTATGATACTATATATATATTCACTGCGAATTAAATTTATGCTGTTAAATAATGGTTGAAGTCTTATAACAGAAGGCAGCTGGGTCCAAATAAGATTGCCACTTCATGGCCTGTAGAATTTTAGGTGTACCATTGGTATATTAATTGCTAAGTGGTACATTATGCATCATCGTTCAAACAGATATTTTGTTAGTTTTATAGAAGCAACGACCCGAGATAGCATAGTCTGCATAGTGACTGGCTACAAGCTGTACGACCAAGTGGTCGGAGTTTGAGTCCCAGTGGGGGCAACAATTTTCACTTTTGCATGTTTCACAGACTGGCTCTGGGATCCACCTAATCTCCTATTTGATGGGTATAGTGGGCAAAGTGGCAGGGGCATGAAGGTAACCACTCACCTCCAGCTAGTGCTGAGGTCAAGAATCAAGTGGATCTATACATCCACTACTCCATACACCTTCATGGTGTAATGCTTAGTTTAATACAGGAACAACTTTATGTTTACCTTGGTGTTCATAGAAGCAATTAAATGAAATCATATAAAATTTAAAGATCCGATTCTAGAATAACGGGTCAAATGGGCGAAAAAGAATACTTTATATAGCCATTCAGCCATGGACGTTCATACTGCGAGATTGATGACAGTCACATTGATCGGGGTTATGAAGTTTACTGTCTTGTGGAATATGATACCATGCAGTTTGGTACCCATTTCCCAAACTATATAGCGACATATCAGATGACTGTGATCTTCATACTTACATTATTCACATTAATTGGTATTGCTGCTTTGAGTGAATCCCGCATGATGTTAGGGATATGGATGTCACCAAATGTGGATAATTTTTATGTGCCTACACTATTTATAGTGTTAGTTTCTCAGTAGAAATGAATAAGTCATTCATTCATGTGATGGAGAAATTATGGCTGTAAACAACACAGCATAACATATTAAAACCTAATGTTAACCATGCCACTACAGTCTCTCTCTCTCTGACAAAAAATGCGAACGCTCATCACAGCTGATTACTCCATATTTTATACGTCGCAGTGGTCGCAGTGCTCTTAATTGCTGCACTAAAATTTCGTAATGCGCGATACACAGCGTGGGAACATCGGGAACATCCAACATCGACAATCCTACAATAGTAACCCGTGGTCCATGAAGTACGGAATAATATGCAGAATCGTAATATTTACGATTGATCCGTGGCGTTTACAAATAGGCAGTTTCCAGCGTTTCCAGGCCCAGGTCCAATCAGAAAGCAGTATGGCCATGAAGGGTATGGACCGTATGGCCAGGCTTTTCCGAATGTTGGACGTTGGCTAATGTTTGTTGGCGTGTATTATGAACGTAATCCCAATGTAGTACATTAAAGGTGTTGGTTGCTTGTTAGTGCCGACCAGGGATATAATAAAGCTTTAATCTAATTCTGATAGTGAGATGGTATTTCACGAGTTAATAAAAATAATAATGTGGAGCTGTTACAGTAAAGTTCCCTCAAGTGCTCAACTGTTTTCAAGAGAGAGGGAGCTCCTGTTGTATGTTGGTGATAATTGTTGTAAGTGTAGCATGCGAACACAACATTCTTCACGTCAGCCGCTAATAATGGAGACAAATACAGTCTCTAAAATGTGAAACACCAATTCACATTGATGCAACTGGTTGTTTTACATCATATTATGGATGCAGTTAAAGTGGAACGTGATTCAGATATAGAGAAGCGCAGTGTATGTGACATGAAGGATGAAGAGATACAAGGATATTCATTAGTGAAGAGTGAAGGTAAAGAGAGAGTGGTGTAGGATAATTCATCCCAATTTTTATATAATTTAAAAAATTCTTTAGATCGTGTATGAAGTGTAACAATGTAGTTTACTGCCATTGGTGGGACAGGAAGCTAGGTATAATGTGCATATGTTGTTCTAGAATGCATGCTGGGTGAAATTAAAGAGGAGCCGTTATCGGATAATGAGAGGGAATCTATGGTTTCGCTCGTTGAAGTGCAGCTCACTGACAAACAGGAGCAGACTTCAGACACGTTTAATTTCGTTACAGTGAAGAGTGAATTTCAGGTAAATATGAGATTACGAGATCATTATGCTACCTGTATGTACCCCTCACCCTTTTATTTTTCGAAGAAATTGACCAGTTTTCATGAAATGTGTGAACACTGAGTTACTGGAGGCCACCCCAATCCCATATTCTGTAATTTATTACCATCAGTGATAAATGATGCATGTTAACTAGTGAGATTAGAGTGACAGTGGGACTGCTAAATATTGGGTTTTAAAATGATTTATAGTAACAGGTCCTTCATAAATGTGCATTTTTATCATGGTTTTTGTTAGGAATGTCCAAGGACAAAATGAAATTTGTATTTAGCATTTCATTTGATGGCAGTAACTAACGAATTTTTGGAGCTAAACGTGTGAGATTTGTATCTGTATCTTTATTTTAATTCCATAAATCCTTACTGTCTATCAAAGCTCTCAGATATAGAACATGTCATATATGCATATATTAGTTATGAACTATGAACACAGAACTAGTCACCTTACAACTACATTCATAAATGAAACAATAATTATACATGATTCAGTAATTTAACAAGCATATAGAACTCATCAATTTGACAGTTGTACCTTATTGAGTTCATACCTTATATATATTTTAACATATATTACCGCCATATTTGAGCCGATTGTCTTGATAATTTGGGATCCTCAGTCTCTCACAACCCTATGGGCCTTCATGGCCTGCTACAGGGATAGCTTTAGTTACTTTACTTTTGGATTATAATAAATTAATTCCTACAATGTATTATTATTTTTTTATTTTTTATTGCTAGTGGGGTGGCCTGTTATACCAGCCCCAGATGATAGGTGAGGGTGATTGTGGAGCAATTGGTGGAATGAAGATAGGCAGGGGAAACCGAAGTACTCTGAGAAAACCTGCCCCAGCGCCACTTTGTCCACCACAAATCCCACTTGACCAGACCCGGGATCGAACCCAGGCCGCCGCGGTGGGAAGCCAGCGACTAACCGCTTGAGCCATCGCGTGACCCTCGCAATGTATTATATGAACAGCATTATAAAAGGTTTGATTCATCTTGTATTTAAAATATTTGTCTAATGTATAAAATGAATGGAAGTACAAAAAATGTTTCAAGGCCAATTTAAATTATTTTGCATTATGGAACAGATCCTTTATTGGAGCAGGTAATGTTTTAAAACACCTTAATCACAGTATAATATGTTCCCTTCTGATGACAAATGAGGTGGATGATGCAAATGAGACTTGGTCCTAAGTATTAATATTGTGTATCTCATAACTTACTTTAAAATGATGTTTATTATTGATCACAAACAATGAAGGTGAATATATATACTGAGATTGCAGTGGTAATATTTTTAATTCTCTAAAATATTCTCTACATGTATATGGAAATAGATGATAAACATATCATCAAATTATTTTTTAAATGTTTGTATAAATCAAACAGACTGAAGGTGCAATATTTAGGGGCTGCACCTGACAAATTTAGTGAATACAGGATTGGGATTTAGATGTATTAATTGTATATTATTTGTTTTCCCTGATTATTATGATGGTGACTAAGTGTGAACTGCATTTCATACATGTGTAGAAAGTTAATGGGCAGTGAAACCTCATAGGCATAACCCTGTACTATTTCTGATCTTCCACTGTATTTAAGCAACAGTATTGTACACAGTGAGTCATATTTTTTATTCCAGGAAGAGTTAAATGATGTTACAACAGTGAAGGAGGAATTGAACGATGAAGTCAATGTGGAGGAATCCAAAATGTCTGTAGACAGGTCGGTTGCAGTACATGCATCTTGAATTATTATGAACACACATTTCCAGTTCTGAGGAGGAATGCTTGTTTCTTTTAAAATCACATTACAGTTTGCATGGTATATCTGTCTACACATCTGCCTCTCTGTCCATCTTAGTAAAATATGAGAATGAATATTATTGACATCTGTTCACAGCTTTTTGTATGATCATCATCATCATCAGTAATCTGTCAAGACGACAGGTCCACAGTCTCTTTCAAAACAATTCCTCCACTTAATGCGATCTAGAGCTTTCTCCTTCAAATGACAGTATCCTCTTCTGTCCCCAAGGTCATCCAGCATCTTCTTACGTCTTCTTCCTCGTCTTCTTGTCACTTCTATCCGCCCATCTATCTTTCCTTCGATAGCTTCTTTTAGAAGGCAGTTTCTGCGTAAAACATGACCAATCCAATTAGCCTTCCGTTTTCTTATTTCATGTAGGATATTCCTCTGCTCACTGACTCTAATTAACACTTCTTCATTTCTCACATAATCGGTCCAACTGATCTTCTCCATTCTTCTCCAACACCACATTTCGAAACTTTCCAGATGTTTCTGATCTACTGCCCTAAGTGTCCATGTTTCAGCCCCATACAGAGCTATGCTCCAAATGTAGCATTTCACTAGTTTCTTCCTCAAATTTAAGTCCAATTTGCTGGTAAAAAGATTCTTCTTCTTGCTAAATGCAGCTTTTGCCATGGCAATCCTGGATTTAATTTCACAAGTACACCTTCCATCATCTGTTAACAAGCTACCCAAATATTTAAAACATTTCACATTCTCCACTTGTTTTTGGTCTATCTTTATTGTGACTGGGGTTGGTTGTCTCGAAATTTTCATTACTTTTGTTTTCTCCACATTCATTTCCATGCCATAGCACCTTCCAATTTCAATTAGTCTATCAATCATGCCCTGTAGCACAGTTTCTTCCTTAGCCATTAACACAAGGTCATCTGCATATTTCACAGTTTGAATAATTTGCCCTCCTACTTTGAAGTCACCGAGCCCATCCAGAGCTTCCTTGGTAAGGCATTCGCTGTACAAGTTGAACAGAATTGGTGATAAACAGCATCCTTGTCGAACTCCTCTTCCAATCTGCACACTTCCTGTCTCCCCCCTGTCCAGTCGTACTCTAACTTTCTGATCCATGTACAATTTGCTAATCAATCTTCTTTCATGCCAATCGATACCTGTTTCTTTCAGGATCTGCATTAATTTGGTCCAGTTTACCCGGTCAAATGCCTTCTGCCAGTCTATGAAGCAAACACACAGTTCTTCATCTATCTCCAAAGTTCGTTCCGCTATAATTCTCATCATCCCAATTGCATCCCTGGTTCCTTTTCCTCTTCTAAATCCAAACTGATCTTCTCCAAGTACATCCTCTATTTTCCTTTCAATTCTTCTTTTAAGTATCTTTGCTATTATCTTTGCTGTATGTGCAATAAGACTTATTGTGCGATGGTCGCTGCATTTTGTAGCTTTTGTCTTTTTCTTTAAGGCAATCATTGTAACTTCTGTAAAGTCCTTGGGCCACTCTCCACTTTCATATATGGTGTTCATTAGTTTTGTCAGTGTTTTCAAACCACCTTCTCCCAGTAACTTGAGCACATCTCCAGGTACATCATCATCTCCTGTAGCCTTTCCCTTCCTCATTTCCTTGATAGCTTTTTCCACCTCACTTTGTAAAATATATGGTCCTTTCTCGTCTGTATCTACTTCTTCTTCCGGTTCAACTTCTAAGGTTTCTGGCCGATTAGGTCGATCATATAGTTCTGAAATATAATTTTCCCAAATTTTCAGCACTTGCCTCTGATCTACTATTCTATTCCCCTGGGAGTCTTCGATGCCAACATTTTGAATCCCATGATTCTCTTTCCATCCTAGTTCTTTTGTCTTCATGTACATCAAATCATAACGGCCTGTTCTTTGAAATTCCATAATCTCATTACATATCTTCTCAAGATATTCCTTTTTGGCCCTGTCCGTGGCTCTTTTCAATTCATTCCTCAGTCTCCTGTATTTCCTCCTGCCTTCTTCATTGTTGACATTCTTCCATTTCCTTCGCTCCTCCATTTTACTCATCATCTCCTGTGTAACCCATGGTTTTCTTGCTATCTTCTCAACTTTACCTACCAAATCACTGATAGTATCTAACATGCATTCTTTTATATCGTTCCACTGCGCTTCAGCATTTCCGCTTTCACCTTCAATTGCACCGAGTTTCTCTTCTAGAGTCTCTTGCACGCTTTGTCTTTGAGCATATAACTTCTCCAAATCCCATCTGGGTCTGCGCTTTCGAAATCCTATAATTTTCTTCAACCTGGTTCGGAACTTGGCAACCAGCAAGTTGTGGTCAGAGTCAATGTCTGCCCCAGGAAGCGTCTTCACATCCTTCACACTGTTTCTGAATCGATGTTTCACAAGGATGTAGTCCAGCTGATGCCTCTTCCAATCCCCAGGTGCCTTCCATGTGTAAATTCTTCTCTTTGGCTTCTTGAACCAAGTGTTGGTAACAATCAATCCATTTCGTTCACAAAAGTCAATAAGCATTTGACCTCTGTGATTCCGTCTTCCTAGTCCATGTGATCCAACAATATTCTGATATGGTTCATCTCCAACAATGCTGTTCCAGTCTCCCAATATGATGCTGTTTGTGTCTCCTCTTCCATCTTCCTGAAGAATTTCTTCAATTGTGTCATACACTTTTTCCACTTCATCATCTTCATACTCTGATGTTGGCATGTACACTTGTATAATCAGTATATCTACCGGTTCCGCCTTTAACTTCAGAGCAATAATTCTGTCATTACAAGCAATCTTCTTAACAACACTCCTCACTACACTTTTATGCACCACTATTGCCACACCTCTTTCAGCCCGTTCACCTCCGGAATAATACACTGTATAATCACCGCTTCTTATTTCACCTTGTCCTTTCCACCGCACTTCGCTGACACCTAGCACAGACACTTCATTCTTCTGCATTTCCGTTTTCAAATTCTCCAATTTTCCTGCTTGATTCAAGGTCCTGACATTCCATGTTCCAATCTTGTATCCATGCTGTTTCTTCTGATCTTCGCACTTTTTCTTGTTGTAACGCCTGCATGACATTTCCTCTAGAAACACTCCCCCCCGGAGATCCGATTGGGGGAGTAGTTTACCTCCGGATTGTTTTGCCTCCAGAGGAAACATCTCGCATATATGGTATCTCTGTTTTTGGAAAGAGACTATCCAGGAAAAGTGATAATGTGGTAGTTTTTCCATTTGCTTTCCACATCGCAGTACAGCAGCCGTTCAAACCACTCTGGTCACGCCTGCTGCTATACGAACTTGAACCATCTCGAGCATCATTTGCTCTGTGCTTCAAGTCGCTACTGATGACGCTGCTTCCGGCATCAGTTTTTGGTGTCTCTCTTCGTCTGATGCCTACCCTTTGACCTGTCCAGCAAGGGAGGCCCTGCCAGTAGCTACGCTACCGCTGGTATAGCTCTCAGGGTCCTTGGCATACTCAAACCCCCTCACCACGATAAGGTGGAGACACCAACAAGGGGGTTGTATGATCATCATGCATAAAAAAAAAATGAACTCCGTGGTTTTAGTCCACAGGCAAACTATACCAACCGAGTGACTGTCTCTTGTTGGGTAAGTTAGTGCCAACTTTAGCAGATAGAAGGCAGCAAATACCCACAGCCGTTAATTTTGGTTTTTTATACCGGAGCCACTATTTCCTTGAAATAGCTCCTCAGTTATTCTTACAAGGCTGAGTGGACCCCGTTCCAGACCCACTACTCAGAAAATGTGGTAGCGCTGGGAATCGAACCTGGATCTCTGGATCTTTAGCTAGGATCTGTGACCACTAGATCACAGAGGTGGTCATCATCATGCATAGGGCTTGCAATTTATGAGTGGGCAGGCACATAACACATAAAGTGACCTTAGGATAGCTATTGAATTGTTTATTGGGTTATATTGTAATGTGTATGTGCTCTTGGGTTTTTGGTTTTGCTAGGAGTCCAAATGTCTATTTGCCAACTTGACACTTCTGTCACTTCACTGTCACTTCTGCCTGAATGGCTCAATGACTTGCACGAAGCTGTGAGATCATTGCATTATATAATTATAAGTGATGTATTGTGGAAGCTTTGTCCAGTTCTAAAACTGCTATTATCAGATTTCAAAGTTTATTTGTAGTTTATAATGGCCAGATTCAAGATTTTCATTTATTTTGATTGGAATAAAGATAGCTGTAACTTCACCCCCTCCTTCGGTCACTTCGTTAATCATGATACTGTTTGCTTATGTGTGACCTTCCCTAATGTAATTTAAAACAATTTCGTTTATGTGTGTGTGTGTGTGTTTGCAAAGTTATTGGCAGTGCTGGGTGTGGTTAGCACTGACATGCTTGTGTAAGAACTGGCCTGAGGGATTCATCTAGTTAAGTAAGAAAAGATAATAGGATATAAATATATTGCCTATTAGTTGGTGTTACCAGATACTGTGCTTGGATTTTCTATGTACATAATCACAGTACTTGCATGATATCCACTTGATCCCACTGATGTTTGTACTCCTGTTCTGTTTAGGCACTTCATGGATGCCCCCTTGAAGAGACCAAGGACTGTATTAACTCTCGACACTAAGCTTAGTATTATACAACGACTTGAGAATGGCGAGACTGCTGCATCACTTGGGCGTTTATATCACATAAATGAATCAAGTGTCCGCACTATAAAGAAGAACGCAGAAAGAATCAGAAACTCTGTCGCCCAATCATGCTCACTAACTGCAAAGAAAACGGTTAGGGTGAGAAATCCACTATTGGAAAAGATTGAAAAGATGCTGGCAATCTGGGTTGAAGATCAAAATAAAAAGAAGATGGTGGTTAACTCCCGCATCATCCGTATGAAGGCACTGAAACTCTATGAGCACTTACAGGAAAAACATATGGGCTCTTCATCTGCTGAACCTTTTGCAGCAAGTAAAGGTTGGTTTGACAAATTCCAGAAGCGTCAAAATCTACAGAACATTAAAATGAAGGGTGATGCTGGCAGTGGTGAAGATGTTGCACCTTATGACTTTGCAGATGAATTTAAGGCTGTTGTGAGGGCTAAAGGATACAAGCCACAGCAGGTTTTTAATCTAGATGAGACTAGTTTGTTTTGGAAACGAATGCCAAGTAGTACATTCCTGTCAAAGGAAGAAAAGACTGCTCCAGGTTTCAAAGCAGCAAAAGATAGATTGACAGTTTTGTTATGTGGTAATGCTAAGGGTGACTTCAAATGTAAGCCTTTATTGGTGTATCACTCCCAAACTCCTCGAGCCTTGAAAGGTGTAAGATTTCAAAACCTACCAGTACATTGGAGATCAAATAGAAAGGCATGGGTAACAGGGAAACTGTTCGAAGACTGGTTTCTTAACTGTTTTTGTGTTGAGGTAGAGCAATACTGCTGCAAGTCTGGCATTGCTTTCAAGGCTTTACTAGTCCTTGATAATGCCCCAGGACACCCTGCTCACTTGAATGACCTACATCCTAATATCAGGGTGATGTTTCTACCCCCCAGTTCAACTTCCTTAATGCAGCCCATGAATCAGGGTGTTCTAACAATTTTTAAGATCTACTATATGAAGCTGATATTCTTGCAGTTGCTGAAAGCATCTGAAGGATGCGGCAAGCAATCAGTTCGTGATTTCTGGCGTAGCTACAACATTCTGCATGCTATTAAGAACATCAGGAATGCCTGGAATGAGGTGAAGGACACTCTTATGAATGTTGTTTGGAAAAAGTTATGGAAGGAGTGTGTCCAAGATTTCAGAGAAAGTGTGAATCCATTCTCAGAAGCATCTGAAATTGTTGGTATTGGTCAGAAGGTTCCAGGAGAAGGATTTGAGGATTTAACAGAAGCAGATATTATAGATCTCCTCCAGTCTCATGAAGAAGAATTGTCTGTAGAGGATTTGGTGGAGCTAACACAAAAGGAGCAAGAGGACCAAGATGTTTCGATGCAAGAAGATAAGCTGACAGTGAAGCGACTGGCTCGCTTCTTCACTCTTGCTAACCAACTAGCCCAGGAGGCAGTAGATATGGACCCAGATATTGAGCGGAGTTTACAGTTTGGGAGGAACTTAACATCAGCTTTGGCTACGTACAGGGAAATCTACAGGGAAAAACAGCATCAGTCAAACTCTTTGCATTAAAACTAGAGGTTAACATAATCCTTTCCACTGTAACTCTTGACACTGACATTCATTTCTTCCTGCCAGGGATACATGACAGTTTTAATAGTGATGCTTAATGAAACGATATAGCGCTTTCCCAGCCTTATATTTACATCAGAGCGTATGAAATTACTAGCTTGTGTCAGTAAACATAATAATCGTTTCATTGTTACATTTGATTTTGCTCATGTATGTGGATTGGATGATGATGTTGAATCTGACTCCATTTTAGGCCATGAACTACGCTTTGCAGAATGTGGATGGTATTTCTTTCATAATAGCAGGTGTCCAGAAAGTCACTCTGGGATTTTAGGAGGCTGTATTTTCATAACTGTTATACATACTGAAAAAGAACACCAAATGATAGGTTATCTCTTTAATTTTTGAATATATCAAGTTTGAATACAGTCTGTTTGCTGGGCTGACAGGTATAAATGTATCACGTAATAATAAGTAGGTAAATTCCAACATAGATTTCGTACAAGATTGAGCTCTTTGTTGTGACCATTTCCCAGCATTCCTGTATCTTGATCCACGTACTGCATATTTAATAAATGCAGTGTGGTGTACAAGTTGTTTCAAGATTAAAACAGACTTTTTGTTCATCTGCATAATATAATGACTAGACAAAGATATGATACTGTGGGCAGTATTCTTTACAGATGGTGCATCTGCAGACCTGGGAGACAATGTGAAAACCAATTTCGTCAGATATGGTAGTTCGGACGAATTCCAAGCTTCTGACCTTCCTTGGCTCATCTTTGTAGTAGAAAGCATTTGTTGCCCCTAAGTGACCATATAAGAACACAAATTATGTATGTGTTTAGGTTGCCCTTTTAATTTGGTTCCTTTCCATTTTTAGGAATAGGTTTATGTTCCTCTGTATGAATTGATATTAATTATTGCAACTGTCTTCAGGATTGAAGCCCTCTTTTTCATTTGGGTCTACCTTATGTCATCAGTTTTTATTTTTCATTTCTTTCAAGTTTATTTTCCTTGAGGTGCTGTTACACTTTCTTGGCCTGTGAAGGGGTTGTATTGAACCCACAAACCCCTATTGGCAAGAGCTGTAAATAGGGATGAAGCTAAATTAACTTACGANCCTTTTCCCCGATATCTCATCACACAATGGCAAAGCAATTAAGTTTAACAACATAAATTAATAATTTTACAGTGTTATTGTCGTTCATTAAAACATTTCACACTTCGCCCTTTTTTCGTATTACTATTGTTATGTTCTACGTTATATTTTAATGATAATTTTACGTATCCTCAATACAATGATAAAAACAGTCACTAAGTTTATATACCTCATGCAGCGGAAGTGTCAACCCTTAGTACTCTCTGGGTAGAGATATTGACACGTAATAACCTTATTGGGTGAACAGCTATTAGCAGATTGATAGTACACAATAACTAGGACAGATTTCGAGGTAACGATAGTGTCGAAATGCAAGGGGTTAGATCAAAGTATTAGTGGTATGTGATCCG